TATTGTCACTCTCAAGCCCGGATAAAGGAAGAGAGTTGGGCATAGAGTCAGCAACCCTATTCCGTAGAAAAAAACATTGCTATTAAACTCTAACCAGAAAAAGCACAATTTAAACCATTTGAAACAAGTATTTAATTGAAGTAGATAGTCACAGATATCAGTTTTTCAATGACTTTAACCATTATCGCGTTACAGATGAATAAAATTAGTAAGAAGTAAACAAAAAGAAATCATATCTGCTTCAATTTAACGCTTTTTAATGATAACAAATAGGATTATTTTAAAATCTAGTCAGAACAAGGTTTTATTTAGTGCTTGGTGAGTTAATTGTTTGAAATAAGTAAATTACTCTCGTTGAATTATCTGATATTGTGGTGTAGGTTACTTATATCTACACAAGTAGTATATAATGGTGTTCAGACATAGAATGTATTTCAGTAGAAGGTCGATGAAGTAAGAACGGAAACGGAACGTAATTGGTACGAAAACGGATGAACAATGAAATCTGAGACAATGGATTGATGTTTGCAACAGGAACAGTCAAGTTTTCTATGACGGATTGATATTTTGCAAATTAACGATTTACTATATGGTTTTCAGATTTTATTGAGACACTCTGTAATTTAGTGTCAAATACATTCGATTGTCCGCACTAGTGTTCTCCTTCACTACAATATCTGTATGAAATTCTTATGAAATGCAGTAGTTTACTCAGTTACCATTAAGAAGTAATTTTTATCGATAGGGTTGTCCGTCACCAGAAAGGAGAAGTCATTCAAGCTAGAGATTCCTCTCAAAACTTGACTGGTAAAAGCCTGATGCCGTTCAAGTCTCAGTACAAACAGAAGCACTAACCTACAAGTATGCCCAGTTGGTGGGTACTAAATAAGATGGAATATGTATCGTGAGTTTCACTACTGCCCATAAATAATAGTCATGAATGATTCGTTTAAGAAGTTCAGACATTAGTGGAGATTGATCAGATTCAATCCACCACATATAACGAGTAAATAAAAGCCTTAACGAATATCAATTAGTTCATTTAACGAGTCTCTTCCGCACATAGTTGAGACAAGACTATTAAGATGCTGCTTTGTTTACAAAGACATATCTTGTTGGTTTACACTTCTATAAAGTTGTCTATGTTTGAAAAAGAGTAGGGATGATGATTTCAAAAATTGACGGAATAAGATAAGTGATTTTATTTACTTTCTTTCTATTCAGTATATTGACTTTATCGATCAAGTAGAATAATACAGTGTTACGTATTGGCTTTATTTGGCCTTGCCGAGTAATTATCGCTTTCACTTATCCTTTCGATAGTAGTCAGATATTTTTATAAAAACAGATAAACTAATAGATAAACATGACGGTAGTGAAACGCGATTATTTATATTGTATATCACAGTTCAGCCTAATGAATACCTAGCCGAAAACAATACTGTTCTTCGGTATATCTTTCCTAAAATTTATTTTATGTTGTAAGTGTTTCTGTAATGAAATTCGTTATGATAATTCCTTAAAATAGATAACAATATCTCATTCTAAGAAGTTTCTGTTACGTCAATCGTACAAATAGTTCATTTGAATTTTAAGAAAACTTTTTCAGCTCCAGAATAACTACTGATTTGTATTTACAAGTTTAATTCCTGCTAAGTGTATTGTGATCGGACCCTGTAAGAGTCGACCTTACCATACACAGGGGAAACAGCAAGATCTTCAAATAAAACACCGAAAGCATCAACTCATTCATACTTGATGCAGAAACCCCGGAAGAGGTAGAAACGTTCACGTACCTGGACAGCATCATCATTGAAAAAGGAGGATCTGATGCAGACATAAAGGCTAGGATTGGCAAAGCAAAGGCTGCATTCCTACAGTTGAGGAATATACGGAACTCGAAACATTTGTCAACCAATATCAAAGTCAGAATCTTCAATACGAACGTCAAGACAGTTCAACTGTATGAAGCTGAGACTTGGAGAACTACCACAACCCTCATCAAAAAAGTACAAGCATTCACAAACAACTGTCTACGTATGATACTGAATTTTAGTTAGCCGAATACTATCAACAACAGCCTACTATGGGAGAAAACAAATTAGCTTCGAGCTGAGAAGGAAATTAGGAAAAGACGTTGAAAGTGGATAGGGCATACATCACAGAAATCATTAAACTGCACTATGAGGCAAACCCTAACTTGGGATTCTGAAGGAAAGGTCTAAGGACACATTGCGTCGGGAATCGGAAGCAGACATTAAAAGGGTGAATAGCAACTGGAAAGAACTAGAAAAGATTTTCCCAGGACTTGTGACTATGTATTAAGAATAATGAAAACATTACTTTTTTAGTGTTGTACTTTTGAGGAAATGTTGTTGATGGTAGAGTCAATCTAACATATCCGTGATAATCTTAGCTACTCTTCGTGAAGGATATTAAACATTAGATTTATCGGTTTATGTACTTTTATGGAGTATGTTGCATTGGTAGCAAAAACATGTTCTTTCCAGACATATATTCAAACATTTCTCAGTATGGCTATCTTAAGGTTAGTTCAAATCAGTCAGAAATTGTATGGAAGATGGTCACACAATATCGTAGGTTGATTGCAGTTAGACTTGAACACTATTGGACTACCGGCTCAGTGGTCTAGTGTTTTAGTGTTCGCGCGATACTGAAGGTCCTGGGCTTGAGTCCTGCGTTCAGAAGCGTGGATGAGCACTGCTGACGTGTCCCGTACTAGGACGAAACGGCCGTCCAGTACTTCCAGATATCCAATAATGGTCTCACACTGATCGGTTCATGATCTCAATTATAATAATTTTATTACTGAAAATCCATTTAATTTTGGTCTTCTATCATTTCACAAGAATAATCAGTCGAAATTATCCAGAAATTCTGATGAATTTACTTAAAGAGAGGTTGCACAAGAAATTTATACGTAGCATGGTCTTCAGGAATTCAAAATCAACCTGTTCTTTGTGTTCAGAAGCGTTATATCTCATCCTTTATTTTAGCACATTAGTAACATCCATCTACTTATTTTGCATGTTGTTTTTGATAAGTATTCATATCTTCATTGCCCTTTTTATATTCATCATGTGGACATTTATTTTTCACATCACTCTTCTAAATATTGTTTCAATTATGATTACCGTTTGTCTATTACGTAACTCTGTTCAGGACTTTAAATTTTTCATTACCTTTTGGTATCTTTAGTAATGATGTAATACTTTTCCGCATGAATATTGACTACTGTATGTATGGATTATTTGAAGTTAGAAATTAACACCGTTGGATGCCGGCTCAGCGGTCTAGAGGTTAAGTCTTTGCGCGCGAGACCGATAGGTCCTGAATTCGAATCTCACGAGGCGGGATCGTAGATGCGCACTGCTGAGTGGCCATCCAATGCTTCCAGGTTTTCTATGTTAGTCTAGCTTCGATTAACTCATGATCTCAACTACTGAAATTATTGTATGTAAAACAATAATAAATACGATTGTACAGGTTTAGTGAATTACATGATTCACAAGAAAATTTTGTTTGTCAATCTATTCTAATTTATGTTCCGTCAAACAGATGTTCATATCAACTAAATCGAGTAAGATGTTTAATTTTAAACATTCAATATCTAATCCCTGAACCTTAAAAATTAAGTAATTTAATAGTATTTATTGCATTGTTTTCTACATAAAAAAAGAAAGATTTTGACTGTTTAGACAAACCCGTTGTTTTAATGTCCCTCAAAATATGCTCAGCTATCACTTTGTGTTCCATTAAAGTTTGAACCTATATTGCTGTAACTAATTGTATTATTATCCTTGATCTATCTGTTATGTAAAACCTTTGACAAAGTAACAATAATGAAGTAGTTCAAATAGGGTCAAATATTCGATCAAGTTCTTCTACAGCATAATAATTTAAACTCCTTTTAAAAAAAACGTTGAATTACAATTAAAGATGGATAGTGGCTAGTAGTGGAGTCTAGGACGCGCGTTTCGTCCTGTTTGGGGCTCGTCACTTGAATGCACCTGCATCTTAGTGTTGATGTTCACCCTGGATTCCACTGCCAGCCACTATGTATCTTTGCTTATAAAGCTTTTGAATTAAGGCAATAACGAGGCAATATGTACAGGATGCACACATGGCAATAAGAAATTGATCAGTTACAGTCTTAAACCTCAATGGGAATATTCAAGAAAACAATACCAAGTGAATTTGGATTATAATTATTTAGTCTAAGTCTTTTCACTAGTTAGTTAAGTCGTTATACAATTCAATATTCATCAATAATCAAATGGCTTTATATTGTTCTAATACTATTTCGCCAACTAATTGACTAACTTCTATCCTTTTTATAGATAGATTATTAATTAAACTGTTTATGTTTTTATAAGCAAAGATGGATAGCAGTTAGCAGTGGAATCTAAGATGCGTGTTTCATCCTATCTTGGACTCGTCAACTAGATATACCTGCATCTCAGAGTTAATGTTCATTCTAGAACTCGAATCCAATACCGTTCACTTTAAACAATGGGAAAATACAAGTTAACAACCCAAAGTGAATGTTTATACTTTTCTTCCTACTTTTAAAATTTATTTCAGGTCTTTTTTCATACTTAAGAGACTTTCTTTATTTATAAAATCATCTACATTTATTATATAACAATTCTAAACAATATAAATGACAAATAATTAACATTGAATTATTGTACATTACATAGTAACTCAATATTTCATTTAACAACAAATAACTAAATAATTCGGTTTCTTAATGACAAAAATGAACAAAAAAACAGAACAAAACAAACAAAGAAACAAACAAGAAAGAAGAAAGTGAAGAAATATAAAAGAAAAAAATCAATAAAAATAGATGATGACACTCGTATTGAAAAAACAAATAAAGAAATAGCATAACAACAATTTATTGATTAACATTACTATTATTATTATTATTATTATTAGTAGTAGTAGTAGTAGTAATAGTAATAATAGTAGTATTATTCATTTCTTTTAAAAATATTATACCATATATACTTTATCATAATTTTTATATCATGTCTTATACTAATAGCACCTAACATTAATACATAACTAGTTATTGATTGTATAAACCAATATAATATAGACATTAAATTAAATAAATTATCATTCCAATGATTATTGATTTTTGCAACTAAAAAACAACAATAATCATCATAAATTGAACCAAATAAAAATAATGATAATAAATTAATTAAATATAAAATAGCACAAATTAACATCATTTTAGCTACGGTTATTCTAGCTGATATATTATATATAATTAATTTTATAAATGTTGATTGTTTTCTATTGGAATAATGAATTAAATTTCTATGTTTTAATTGATTTTTATGTATGAATGATTGATTTGATGTTTGTTTTTTATTCATTGAATTATTGATTGTTTTATTAATTGTTATTGAATGATTATGATAAGAGAATGTTTTGATGCCAAATTTATTATTATTTAATTTCCATTTAATTAATACAATAATCATAACAATAGTTGATATAGTAACAATTAATACGGGTATAATAAATGTAATTGAAAATTTTATTATATTAATGAAATTATTTCTAAATATACCAGAACATATTGGTTGTTTTGTAATTAATAAAAATATATTTGATAATATACTTATTATATAAACAATAATAATCATTAATAATGCTGGTCCTATAGAATCATGATTCATACTATATAATTTTTTAGGATATAATGTTATATAACAACGTTCAATGCATAAACATACAAAATGCCAACCAGATATATCACAACTTATAAATGATAAAAATATTTGTATTCTACATAACCAATCACTGGTTAATAAACGTAAATCATTACCAGTCATTGATAAATAGATTAATCTTATTAAATCAAAACAACCTATTATATTAATCATTTCCATTGATAATATAATAATTTGTGTAGACATTCTTAATGAACATATTGGCCATGTTAAATGTTGTTTACATAATTTTACAGATTTGCTTTGTTGTTCTTGTTGTCGTTGTTGTCGGCGGTGGTGTTGTTGTTGTGCATTGACATTGTTTTTATAAGATATTGTATTTGTAATTGTTGAATAAGGTGTCATAGATGAATGTTGATTAATTTCTTGTCTTTGTTGTATATATTTTAATTGACGTATTATTCTCCAACCTATAATATATGCAATCCATAATATTGCTGCTATAATATGTGATAATATTGATAATATTCCTATACATCCAATAATAATACGAACAATTTGATAATTATTATAATACATTATTCTATTTTAATATAAATTAGTCAATTCAATAGTTTCTATCAATCTTTAGCTAATTATCATTTATATAAGATGAATGAATGATTATCATTAATAAATGTTTTGTCATGAATCATTATTATTTTATAAATATCTTATTTATTTTAAAAGGGAAATAGTAATAAAATATAAATATACAATTATCCTATCAAATTCAAAGAATCTACTATACAGGGATTGGATAAGATTTCTTGATAAAAAAACAACTTTCATTGCTCAAATTATCTTTATTGAAAGAGTCATAATCTAAACAGAATACATGTATATATATATATAGGACAGGTGATTAGATAGGTTTCCCTTACTTCATAATGACAATGATTCTCCTAAGATGTAAAACAAACAAACAACATGATCATACTTATTGATTGGTTTTCCCCAATGGATACTAAATACAACAATAAAAAAACTTTTTTCTTTAACTAAAATGAAAAAAAAAATTATTTTGTTACAATAAATAAATAAATAATAAAAAGAAAAGGAATTTAATTGTTCATAGGCATGGCGTTAATTTAATTCTCTGTATATGGATATGCTTCATTCTTATGTGAATCATTTCAATAAATTAATAAATTGAATTCATTAGTATTTCTTTTATAAATATAAACAAAAATAATGATACGTTCTTTTCTTCTTCTTGTTCCTTTTCTTCTTCTTGTTCCTTTACTTCTTTTTCTTGCTTTTCTTTTTGTTCTTTTTCTTTTTGTTCTTTTTCTTTAATTATTATTATTTGAATCATAGAAGCGTAACGTATAACAATATTTCTATATATATATATACATAGAAACTAATAATTTATGGTTTAATTTTAATATCAAAATAAGTTTTACAAAGTATACTAAAAAAGATACTGTACTAGTTTTGTTTTGTTGTCGTTTTTTTACTTCTTTTTTTTTAAAAAAAACTGGGAATAGCTAACAAATTATAAACTGAAATTAATTGGAACATAAATCAATAACAGAAAGGATTGAATAATTGTTTTATATTCTAGTTTTGAAACACTAAAACAGATATTGTTTTTGAAGTGAATGATATTGGGTTCGAGTCTTAGAGTGAATATTAAAACTGGGATGCAAGTATATCTAGTTAATGAGTCCCAAATAGGATGAAACGTACCTCCTGGATCCCATTACCAGACACTATCTATATTTTCATACACATAGTTCCCTTTATTATTTTAAAGAGAGCATGAACAAAGATTAGTGTAGAATAATATGAATTCATTTTGATCAAATTAAAGAGCTGCACCTAGTTAGTGAAGAAAAAAAGGCTGGTTTAAATCTAAACTAGTCGATATTGAAAACCAATATCTTGTTTCACCCACACCAGAGTCTAAGCTTTTATCCAAAGATCACCAAGCAGCATTACGAAATATTAAGCGAAATGATGATATAATGATATTACGGTTAGATAAAGGCTCAAGTGTTGTTGTAATGAACAAAGCAAATCATGTCTCCAAGGCGAAGTCCATGAGATTCAAGTTAGAAAAAAGTAGCAAAGACTTAACTGATTCCATTGAGAAAAGAATCACTAAAGTACTCATTGTGAGAACTTAACGAAATAAAATGAATTCATATTATTCTGCACCAATATTTATTCTTGCTCTATCTATATTCGATTATAATACTTGTGGTTTAAGGTAATAACGAGGCAATACGAATAAGATACACATATGTCAATAAGAGACTGATCAATTGCAGTCTAAAACATCAATAGGAAGATTCAAACAAGCAATACCAAGTGAATTTATATTAGTTTTTTTTCAGTAAAAATAGCTAACAAATTATAGACGGAAATTACTTAACAAACGAATGAATAACCGAAAGGATTGGATGATTACTTTGTATTCTAGTTTTAAAACACTAAAGCATTGAATGCTTAGAGTTGCATAGACGAGATTTGATAGTAAAAAAATTTAGTTGAGAAATTATGCTTCTGACTAAGACTAAATGGGCTGCTTGAATATCTGGGCTATTCGTTCCTGACATTTAGATATTTCAACAAGTTATCTGTTTCATTGTTTGTTTTAACATATCATTATGCCTATTAGTTTGATGACCTATTCAGGTACTTACTTACTTACTTACGCCTGTTACTCCTCGTGAAGGAGCATAGGCCGCTTACCAGCATTCTCCATCCAACCCTGTCCTGGGAAATCCTTTCTAGCTCCGTCCAGTTGTAATTCATCGCTTTCATATCTGCTTCTATTATCCGACGCAATGTGTTATTTGGCCTTCCTCTTTTTCGCTTCCCTTCAGGATTCCAAGTTAGGGCTTGCCTCGTGATGCAGTATGACGATTTGCGTAATGTATATCCTATCCATTTCCATCGTCTTCTCCTAATTTCTTGTTCAGCTGGAAGTTGGTTTGTTCTCTCCCACAGAAGGCTATTGCTGATGGTATCCGGTCAAGGGATGTTGAGTATCTTACGTAGACAGCTATTTATAAATACTTGTACTTTCTTGATTGTGGTTGTTGTAGTTCTCCAAGTTTCAGCTCCATACAGTAGACCTATTCAGGTGCGTTTATGAAAAGTTTACGACATTTCACTGTACAAGTTACAAAAAAGCCAAATCAGAGACATCATGGTTGTTGGTCATATGCATCGAAAAGAATATACATTATTCACAAGTCGATTCTTAAACTGCTAACATCGAACTGGCGACCACTGAATATTTATCGCAAACATCAATCAAGAAATAAGAAATGGAAACTCACTGAAATAATTTGTGCTGAGAATTCTATATTGTGCCAAAAATATCATATTGAATAAAGCCACTAATAGCAATAATATTCAACTCTTAAGTAAGCTATTGAGAAACATTAGGTATGTAATTGGATTTGTCAAATCTGATAATTTTTCAATAACAGATTAATAATAAATTTCTACCTTCATAAATTATTATATATAGTCACTATTCATGGATTTGATGATGACTTACATTATTAAATGATCATTTAATGATAATACCTTAGTTCAACTGGAGATTACTCGTACCTGAAAGGTTAACATCACTGACTAACAAAGGTTTGTACTGTCAAAATCAATATGAATGTAAATATACCAGAAGTGAATACACAATTAGTAGGATGGCTATACATTAACATTCATCACAAATAAATGATCAGTTAATGATGAGTAAAAGTAACTTTACAGGATGTTGCATAAGATTGATACTTCTCTTATTACTGTTCATTATCGTTAATTTATAAAATCAAAATGTATAATATATGAATATCCAAATTTCGATGTTATTTGCATTAATTCAAACAAAGATAATCATTCTAAAATGTACAGTTTGTCTTTTAAAGAAATTTAATTGTTATCAGAAGGGGTTTTGTGGAGATTTTAGTAATTTTATAGTTGAATTCATGAATCAATTAATGATAGACCATCATGGAAAATCTGAAAGTACTGGACGGCCATTTCGTCATAGTATGGGACTCATCAGCAGTGAGTATTCACGATCCCGCCCCCTGTGAGACTCGAACCCGGAACCTATCAGCTTCACGTGCAAACGCTTAACCATTAGACCACAGAGCCGGCATTAAATGGTGATAATGTCCAACTTCAACCAACCCACGATAATGCACCACTGTCGATTATTGTCTTCAGTGAGTTACTGCCTCACAACACACCTGGTTGAGGTTCACTGGTCACGGATTCTCACTAGAGCTCCAGGAAATATCTGTTGAAGCCAGTCACTAGTGAGTATACAATGTCAAGGTGCCAGTTATGAAAGATTTATATGATGCTATTAGAATCATAATTCAAGAATAAAACTCTTCGCCAAGGATTGTGTAAAAAAGAAAAAATAAATTCGTCTTTATACTACGCTTACTTACATGATTTACAAGAAAAATCGAAATTATTTTCATTTCTTTTAATGCATGTTTTTCCCCTGTTCTCATTTACAAAAATCTCCACAAAACCCGGTTCTGATAATAATAATAATAATAATCATCTGCTCACTAGTGACTGGCTTCAACAGGTATTTCCTGGAGCTCTAGCGAGAATCCGTGACCAGTGAACTTCATGTGTGTTGTGAGATAGTAGCTCACTGATGACAATGATGGATGTGTCGCTCAATTTCGTGGATGAGTTGAAGTTAGACATTAACACTGTTGGATGCTAGCCGGCTCAGTGGTCTAGTGGTTAAGCATTCGCGCGTGGGTCTGGGTTCGAATCTCGCGAGGCGGAATCGTGGATGCGCACTGCTGATGAGTCCCGTACTATGACGAAATGGTCGTCCAGTACTCCCAGGTTTTGTATGAATTCAACTAAAAAATTTAATTGTCCTAGTTCATGTAATATTATTCTTTTTACCGATAAAAAACAACAGAACATTAGGTGAAGGAATAGCAGTTAAAAATACAGCAACAAGATATGATAATTCAATGTAAGAAATGTTCCGAGATTTATTTTTTATGGTTTCTTCACTTTAGGGTATTACATTATTTTCGATAATTTAACTTAGTAATTCACTATAATCCCTACACTTATCATTAAACATTGATTTAAATGAAAAAAGAGCACGATTCATCTTTATTTAGTTATATACATAGTTATGTTTCAGTAAACAGCTGAACTTCAATGGCCTCGTAAACACTCCCCTTAGACAATATGAATGTTTACTGTTATTATGTAATGTATTTACCGTCTAACTTATTATTGTGCCTTATCAGTTCTAAGTTATTAGAATATTATACTTTGTTTATGTCAGTTTTTGAGTAGATAAGTTATTAAACATAAATCATAAAGAAAAAAATGAAACAATCTAAATAATCTCTAGTCTACAGGTAAATCAATTGAATTATTGCGGTATAAATTATAGTTAAAAGGAATTGGTGTTAATGAATTCAATTAATCTTTAAGTAGCTGTATGAATAAATATGTAATGAATGAACACTTAGGTGGGGAAGACAAGTTTTATTGTTCTTTCATTCCTATTGTTGTCTTGATGGTTTTCAGTTTTCAGTTATCTCCTCATTTCAATCTTCTCAAGCTTCTGCTCGCAGACATTCTACTTCCGACTGTTGTTACATACT